TTTTTTTTTTTTTTTTTTTTACCTTTAATCAGTTTAAATGCACTCAGACTCACCTCAAACAGTCCCACTGATTTAATCTAAATGTGTCTGTATTCTCCACAATTATAATTCAATGATAAAGTAATCATTTTTTGGCTTAATTCTTAGTGAGTTAAGATGTTGGCATGAATGAAAATTAAGAGTGATTTTTAATGTCCTTTTTCTCAGATATGAACATGAAAATGCTGGACTTCGAGCAGTTCCTGCCCATGCTGCAGGCCATCGCTAAGAACAAGGATCAGGGTTCCTTTGAGGACTTTGTGGAGGGGCTGCGTGTGTTTGACAAAGAGGGAAATGGAACGGTGATGGGCGCTGAGCTACGACATGTCCTAACTACGCTGGGTAAAGAGTCACTGCTTCTTTTAGAATGATATTACAGTACAGTACAATACTATCTTTCTTTGAGCATTTTCAAAGTTTCTTCCACTTAGAATTTTTTTTTTTCTGCTATTGTCATCTCTGAGAAAGAATGCTATTCTTTCTAAAGCTGCTTACACGTTAGCATACTTTTAAAAAGAGTAATTATGACGGAAATAATATGCTGTAAAATAATTGCTCAAGTGCAAATTGAATGTAATGTTTTTAGACACTTAATTGGACTTTAATCGCAATTCAATGAAAATGTATTCTAGTTTGTATATAGTGCAATTAGCTGATCTTTAGAGTGCTTTATTTGACCCACTTAAGTAGGTGTTATTACTTCTATTATCTTTAAAACATGGTTAATGTGTTCTGCTGAATGTACTGACGGGCATTTATGGAAAACTAATATATTATGTAATTTCTGTTGAGACATTTGTAATGATGAAGCTGCAATTTAGTACATTTAAAACATATTAACTTAAAATGTAGTATTGAATAACTCACTACAGTTAAAATTATAATGAAGTACTTTACATGTACTTTAGTATGTTAGTCAACACCTCAAATAATTGTGCATCTGTAATTCTTGATTTAAAATGTACCTTGAAGAGAAAGTTTTAATTTTAACATTATTGCAGTGTACGTAAGTGTTGAAGATTTTCATGAGTGTTTAAGTACACTTAAATGGCATTTTATTTAATATATTATCTGCAAGAACAGTTTTATTTTAAATATATATTTTTAAGATTTGAATTTGTATCGAATGACACTTTTTGTTGAATAAAATATCAGTCCTTTCAATCCCAAAGAGACTAAACACCAACCAATTGTTCAGAATGACTTTGTTGAAAACAGAATGAAAAATCGTTTTTGAGAAGAATTTGATGCAGCTTACCCGTGTTTTATGATAGGTGAGAAGATGACAGAGGAAGAGGTGGAGACGCTCTTGGCAGGACATGAGGACGCTAATGGCTGCATCAATTATGAAGGTACAACAATCACATATGGGTCTTTTTTCTTCTCTGAACATCAAGACTACAGCAAAAGTTTTGAAGTCCGTGTTTAATCCATTTGCCTTTCCTTCTGACAGCATTTGTACCCCACATTATGGCTGGTTGAGGAGAGGGTACGGATGGTCCTCTG